AAGCAAAACTCACCAAAGTCAAAATATTGCTTGGTTCTTTAATTCAGTGGAAGTAAAAGCCCAGGTGTGCAACCTGAGAACCTAAGGCACGTGTTGAAAAATGACTCAGGCATTCAGTTTAAACTTCACTGAGTGCCTCTGAGAGGAAGGACTGAACCACATGTTGAGCCAGAGCTCAGAACATTCATAAAAAGAAAAAATCCCATCAGCTAAAAAAAAAAATAATAAAGCCACATAAAAGATCAACCGAATCAAAAAGATTCATGGGAAACTGCAGAAAAAGACAAGCTCATAACTCACCCTCTTTGCCCAAAAGGAAGGAATAGAAACAGAGGTGATTGACAGTGAGGTACAGCCAGCCCTGCCTGGGTACACGTCCCTTCCAGTAGCTGCAAGAATAGTAGTTGACCAACTTCTCCACCTCTGGCATCCCAAACTGCTTCCGCATCTTCAGTTCAGCCTCTTTGAATTTACCTGGATCCTCTTCACTCTGAGGCTGCTGGTTCTTGTTCTCTTCAGCTATAATTCCCTAAAGGACATGGGAAGAGAGGCACCGAGATGAGAAATGAAAGGGAATGCCTGCTGACAGATATAATGTACACTGAAAGGTGACGGCAGCCATCCACAAGACAGAAAGAAGAAATGTGACACAGCAGTTATCATTTCACCCGTCAAGTCAGAGTAATAGGAAAGACATGTAGAATGAGCAGATAGTCTGCTGGGAGCCTATAAGCTGATTTACTTCTAAACACATGCAGCTAACATTCATGTTTAACATCTGACTGAATTCCTCACAGCTGGTTGGGTAGCCCTTACAATGCCCAGCAGCAAAACTGAAGTCTATTTTCACTTGTGAGTGTGACAACAGGAAGGTCATCTGCTAGGAAGGGCAGAGCTCTGCAGGCAGGCAGGCCACGACCGGCCAGAAGGAAGAACAAATGACCACAATCTCTCTCACACAGACACACAGCAAATACAGAGAATGTGACAGAAGTACTGGAAGAGCCTCAAATTGCTGCTGTTCAATAAAAAACCTGCGTGTGTGAGCTTCTACTGTGGAAAATGTACGGGCTGGGAAGCTGAAGTGCATTATGTGCACAACGAGCAGAGGCACTTGTTGAATATGAAGTCAGTGGAAGTTAGGGCACAGTTCCTTTAGACCTACACCATCACAGGAGTGTGAGCACACTGCTTGCAAACTAGAATTCTCTCCTCAGATTTGTTGATAGATCCAGCCTCAGTTTAACCCTCATGCCAAAGGTATAACTTGCAAGGATTGTATTGAGACACTAGATTTCAGCTAGTTACCATCCTAAGAAGGCTGTACCTTGAGATCTTCTGCTCCTAACCTCCTCCCCTCTACCCCTCCAAAAATGTCTGTCTGGTGTTACGGCCACCAAGTCATCCTGACAACACTGTATGCATTTCATAATGCTTCTAAATGTGTCCGTGTCTGCAGAAGGAGCAGAGAGAAGCTCTGCAATGGAGCTCTCACTGCCCCCGTCCCAATTGTAAAAACAATTCTCAATACCACCTCCCCATTCTTTATCAGGTCCTGAAGTCTCTCAGGAATACATGCTCCTTACATGTATCTTGCCCTTGACAAAGGTGGTGATATCTTCTTCATTGTCAAAGATGGACAGAGTCTGCAGTAAGTTATTCTCCAGCCATTCCCAGTGCTTTGTGATCTCCTTACGAGATGATCCTAATTGATGGGGCGAAAGACAAAGGGAAGAACAGAGAAAAAAACACTAGAACAAGCTCCTGTTTTTTTCCAAGTTTATAGCAGGAAACTAATAAATACCAAACAGCAATCAGATGTGGAACACTCCGACTGTCTACATGTCAAGGATACTTCATACACACCAACATTATGTTTCTAATGAAATGCTTCCGTTGCCATTGAGGATAATAAGCACACAGGACATCACTCCATTTATCAGTGCACAGCAGTTTTTTTCCCCCCCCAGAATAAAGCATTGCAATGCTCCAGACAAGAAGTACTTCTTTAATTCCTGATATTCTAAAAGAAAACAAATAAACTTTCAGAAGAAACATGAAATTTCAGAGCAGTCTAAGTTTTTATACCTAGGAGCTGCTTTTTGCATGGGCAATTGTCAGCACAGAACATACAAAGCAAAAAAAGCAACCCAAGCATGCCGGTGTCAGATGCTGTCCCTTGTTTTCTTAAAAAACAAAGTCTCAGTGAAACTCGTATCAAACATTGGTTTTATTTAATCATACAGCCCTCAAGCTTCACAATATCAGCTTCAATGAGTAATCAGTGATTTAAGGAACTCTGCTGTGAAAATTCGCTTTCATTAGCGTTTCATTCCTTTAATTGTTTCAGAGATTTGCATTTACAGAAAGATTTCTTCAGTGAGGTCAACGATGGAATGAAGCAAACAGCAGGAAACACAAACAGCTCCCTACAGCTATGGCTCTACCTGATTTTTTAAGAGGCAGCTTCAGCAAAGAAACAGCCTTTGTCTATTTGTAGTTGGACAGCTAACCTCAAAACACAACCTCAGCTAACGTGTGGTTTATAAGCAAAAATAACTCCAGGACCTGAATTCTCAAAGGACTGCAGGGCTATGAATTCAGACTTCTGTGTAACTTCTGTGTACAGGTCAATGGGTTAAACAACAAACAGATACATATGTAGCTTCTGTAAGTTTACTTGATGTCTATTCTAGCCATTAGACATCGTTTTTAACAGGAGATGGTGTCAGTACGTACCACATGCCACTGCCCAATACACCTGAGAGTCCTGGGTCTGGTGCAGGATACGGTATGGGGCAACTCTGGCACTGGAATCCAAAACTACGTCCAATGTTCCCACAAGGAGACCTGGAAAGCAGAGACACAGAAATTAAAGTAATGCGATATAAAGCAAAGAACCGAGTTAAGCAAAAATTCAGCACTGTTATTCCAAGAAAACAAACAAACAAACAGCCCAGTATTACCACACATCCTGTGCATTATAGCTACATAATAAACAAGAATCAGCGCTGGTACTTGGTCAAGAAAACCAAGATGTAAATCCAGTCACTGCATGGAAATTACCTCTGAGCCACCTACAGGCAATCCCACTGTTAATGGCTGACATTTAGATGGCAATTAAATGGCCACCACAGCTCATTACGATCCTCTGCCTTCCTAGGAGAGTTCCATAGCAGAAGCAAATTTATTTTTCTCCATGGCATCTGGAGATATTGGAGAGGCAGTTAAAATGGAAGGTCTTCACATTAACATCGTCTGAAAAACACTTCACAGAACAGAGCTTTGTCCCCAGCAGGGACAACACTCCATACATCTCTTAGGGACTTTCATCACTGCATTCAAATGACTGCAGGAAGAATGTGAAGCCTCTGGGATCTCCATACTTCTGTTACTTATAGTGATTTTAAGAGACCAAGCTAAATGTAAGAGCTTTCAATGCTGTTACCTTTCAGCACCACCTATGCACACAGCATGGAAGATAACACAACCAAAAGGGACTCAACCAGTTCTGGAGAAGCTGTGACACTCCTGCAAGTGCTTCAGTTAAACAAAGAGAGCAGGAAGAGAACCCAAATTTGGTAACTTCTCAAATTGCATTAGATAAAAGCAGGCACTCTCAGAACAAAATGCTGACCACCGTTAGCACCTGTAAGCAAATCCATTCATTTCAACTGCCTGTTTGTTAGTTAGATCGAATATTTAAGATGAACATCCACGCGGAGCTGGGCAGTCCTTGAAGCAAATATGGACGCATCCAGCTCAGCAAGATCTCAGCTCCGGATCTCGGCAGGATCTCAGCTCTGGATCTCAGGCTTCTTCTGTGTGGCTGTAGGTAGCAGGAGTAAGGGCTCATTCCGCATACTGCCCGTAACAGCGATGTGCCACACACTGACATACAAGGCCACGCTCGTGAACCCGAGCACAACGCAACGAACCGAGCGGAAAGCTGCCAACAGCAGCAGGGCTCACTCCTCCTGCCATAAAACCCGGGCAATTCCAGCACCCATCTACTGGTGCATCTCTGGGGGGGGGGGGGGGAGACGGAAATCCAGCCGCTCGGTGATCCGAGCCGCCCGCAGGCGCCGCCGGTCCCGGCGCAGAGGCCGCCCGCTGGAAGGCGCGCGGCGCGGTCAGGCCGGGTCCCGCATCCCCCATTCCGCCCGCCGGCGCCCCGTTCCCGCAGCCCCGTCCCCGCCCGGCTCACCCGTCAGGCCGCCCCCTTTGCCGTGTCCCCGCCGGCGCTGGAGCAAAAAGAAGGGGTTTGCCCGCTCCGTCACCCACAGCGCGCCGGCCAGCAGCACCTCCTCGGGCCCCAGCCACATCGCGGCGGGCCCTGGGGCCGACCCGGAGGCTCGGCCCGGCTCGGCTCGGCCCGGCCGCACGGCGGAGGGCGGCGCAGGGGAAGCCGCCGGGCCGCGGCGCGCCGCAGGGTCACGGCGCCCACAGCGACCCCTGGCGGCCCGGCGCCCTCACGGCAGCGGGGCGGCGCCGCGACACCGTAGAGAGGAGATGGCGAGTTCGAGTCCCTCTCGCGGAGAGTCTGCGTTCTGATTCTCATTAAACCCTGGGATGATTTGTCTTCTGTGCTGAGGCAGTGCTCTAATTCCGGTTGGAGCTTTTTGTGCGCCGCTGTAATACAAATAGGTACGGGCTGGCCGAGCTGTAAGGCCCTACCTTCATCGTGGTTGCATGGCTTCCTTCCCAGCACTGTCTGGGCTGCAGCAGGTGGAAAGCAGGGAACTGAGGAGAGCTTCTGCTTGCTGTGTCATCTTTTAGGCGGCCAACGCCTCGGGAACAACGCATTGTTGTTTCCTATGTATTAATGGACCACAGCCTGAGACTTCCAGGCACTGATTACAGCAAAATAAAGCAATGTTTTCTATGCAGTAGGGAAAAAAAAAAAAGCTCTGGAAAGGGACCTTTTAACAGTGCGCCACAGAGCCTGCAGAGCACAGCTCAGCCTCCTGCAGTTAAAGACACCAAGATCACAAAACGTGCTCTTTCAAATTGCTTTTTATTGAAATGTAGTACATTAGCAAACCCTAATAGGTATACACTATTAACATATTGGCATATACCACGTAACTACAATACAGTGTTATACTTACATCGAAATAGGTCAGGGAGTTCCAAGTGAGCCTCCCGAGGGCCGGAGCGACGCGCCGAGCGCTCACCCTGCAGCGACCAGCCCAGCATGCTGTTTTTTTGCACACACACCAATGGTGTTTGTAGTTTTGTTCCCCATTTGCTGCTATGCCCCAAGTCCCAAAGGCAGCCCTGGATTTCTCTGCCCCGTTCTGGTGGATGCAGTGCATAGATGGAGCTGTGGCCACAAGAAGGTGCTGCTGGGGAGGGCTGTGCCTTTGGGCTGTGAAATCCCCCCTCCACCCCAGTTACACCTCAGATTTGCAGTGAAATCACTCTCAACAGCTCTAACTTTTAACAAAATCCTACGCACTCCTTGCTTTGCAGGAATATTAACGCTTAGTTATTAAGCTTTGGGGGCAACACTTTATGCCAAGGGTCCCCCAACACCTGGAGACCGCAGGCATTACTGTACAAAGAACAAACAGGCAGCCCTCAGCACACAGCACAAGCACTCAGCTCCATGCAGGTTGTGCCAAACGTGCCGCTGAGCAGCAGCCCCCACCCCATGCAGCCCCCCCTGCCCGTTCTGGAGGTGAGCCCAACAAGTGCAGGTATCACACTTTCTTTGATTATTTCCAAGGTATTTCCAAGCAGCTTTCTCCTGATTTTCCCCCAGTGCAGGTAGCTGGGGCATCTCTCCGCCCTCCCCTGCTCTGCCCTTACAGCAGAAAAAAGGAAAAGGAGCGATGAGATTTTTAAATATAACAACACATAAGCAAGCTGTCACAGCACGGCACACGCTCTTCTCCATGGCTAAGGCTGGAAAACGAGGCCACGCATGGATGTGCAGGAGGGGGGATAAGGAGCAGAGCATTGCCTGCCAGCCTTGGAGTGATGGGGACCTCGGGGCTGGGAGCAGCACGGCAGCCCCACCTTTGAGCCGTGCAACTTCCCTTGTTGTAAAACCAGATGATTATTAGCAGAGCAAAAACATAGATGTGCTTTAACAGTTTAGTCAATGCGCCCTCCAGGAAGCACAGCCCTGTAAGTCAGCTCAGCCCTGCTGCCCCATCCTTCGTATCCAAACAAAACAGATGTGCAGAAATCCCATAGGAGAGTACTAAACACATGTATTTAACTACTTGTCTTTCTTTGGCTTATGTAGGATATCTGGCTATTCCTAAATCGCCCTCACATGCCGAGGCAAGCATCCTAGAAGCAATGGGGCAGTGCAAACAGGCACCAACAAGTGAGCTTACATAGGGAGCACTCATGAGTGGCATTAAGTAAATTTTAACATGCTTCAAATGTAATATTTCATGTTAGTACTATAGGTAAAAAGCACACTTACAGTCTGTTTTTTACTGGCAGTTATCCTCTAAGAACACAAACAAACCTCAATTTTACAAATGTCTTATGGGAACATGCAGAACTTTCAAAAACAGGAGACGTGGAAAAGGGAAAGGGATGGTGGAGCAGCGCGTTCAGATCGCTCAGAGAAACATAAAAGGGCTCTTTTTTTGTAGGTAGAATCCATAAAATTGAGGCTTTCTGATAAAAAAACACTTTTGTTTTCGAAACGTAGAAAATCATTTCCCAAGATACCGACACCACAGCTCCGGGTAGACTGCCATCTACCTTACATCTATGAAATGACCACACACAGCACCACCACAGTAGGACAAGAACAAAGATGCTCATCAAGCATTTTTTTTTTTCAAATATACTGATTAATATGAAAAGGAACATCTCAAACTTACCAGCACAGCCCAGAAAAATCACCCATGCTGCTGTGCTGCCTCTTTCCCATCCTAACTACAATACAGTACACAAGTGCCTGGCACGGCACGTCCCAGCACGCACGTAGGGATCAGTTGCTTCAACCAGACTTAATGTTTCCAGTGTTGCAAGACCTTCCAAACCCACAACGTCCATTGCACAACCGTCAGCCCCAGCTGCCTCTCAGAGAAACACTAAGGCTGGAAAAGATCAGCTAGTCAACCCAAAGGTGGGACCTCTCCTCACCACGTCAGACCCCAGTCAGCACCATCGGAGACAGCTCTTGTTCCCCGCTCCTCTGAAAAGGTAGTTTAGAAGTAGGGAGATTTAACCAAATACAATGGCATTATTTATTCATTTGCCATTTAGGGCTCTGTAGTCGCTAATGCTCGTTTTAATTTCCATCTGCTTTTGAGCTGTCCTCCTCTACTCTGGCACAAAGCTGACTGCTTTGTTCAAAACAAAACCCAGCCCTGCACTGAGGAAGCCAAGCACAACAGGAAGCAGTGCGGGAACTTCCTGATGCTGCCCCAGCGCCGGAGGTGACGGAGCCGTGCCCAGGCACAGGGCAGTGCCCAGGGGTGCCCAGCACACAGCACGTCCCGAGCAGCCAGCAGGGCTCCCACAGCCCGCTCTGCACACTGCCTTGCTGGTGTTAATGCCAGAACTGTGGCCACTCTGCTCTGTGGCACAAGGCACCTCTTGGGCGCTTCTGCGTAGGGAAAATGCACCACGGTGAGCATCCCATCCCATCCCATCCCATCCCATCCCATCCCATCCCATCCTGGCAGCTCCAGCAGGAGCCACAATGCCTCACTCTGTTTAACTACAAACACCCGAGCACAGCTTTTTGCAACCCGACTACTCAACACTGACAAAAACAAGCCCTAAGACACCCTGGAGCAATGGTGTTTTACTTCCGGATGTCTCTGTTCGGAAGCGCCCTGCCCACTGCCTGGAAGATGTGATGATGAAGTCAGGGTTGCTCAACCTGCACCCCATCCCCGTGCACACAGCTGCCACGTGGAGCAGCAAAGCAATGCCTGCAGCCAAACAACCCACTCCGTCCCAGCAAAGGGGCTCCACATCCTCACCACTTGGTTGGGGAAGGTGGCATTGAAGTTGTGCTCTTGAAAAGCCTGGGGTGTAAGCAGGCCTCTAAAGTTGGCTGGGTTGCAATAAAAGTGCATAGGGTAAATGGAAATGGTATTACGAGAAAAATCTCTCTAACCTTCACACCACCCATCCTTGAATTACCAGGTTAAATGAAGCTGACACACAGCAACAGAACATACTCTGTGAATAGGATCGTTTCCTCGTTTTGCAGAGCTGGGTTTTTCTTTTTCTCTTAAACGTCTGTGTTAAAGACACAGCTGAGCCACGCTTCAGGTAAGGATGCACGTCAGCAGACCACTGTACAGTCAAAATTAAAAAACGAGCAGGGGAACTTTTGTAGCAAAATCTGACAAAATTAAAGCATGGCAGGAAATGCCTTACCTACCTTTCTTTTAGACTTACAGATTTCTCAGTTTCCTATACAGAGCGAAGCTGTGTTTCACCTTACAAGGACACAAACGCATTTCTACATCTACAGTAACTGAGACTGCAATGGAGAAAATGTTAATGTTCAAACAGCTCTGCATTGTCCAGGAGGAAACAGAGCAGGAGTCCTCACTCTCCACGTCTGCTCATGTGAGGAGCTCTATGGATGGCTGAACTCAGCTTTCCATCTCCATGTTATACATTCAGAAGCTTGAAACCAATCTCTATTTCCCCACTGCTTCTGGCATGCTCCAGTAAAAATGGATTTTTCATGCTGAGTCCCAAAGCAGTCGCTGCTTTCCTTTATTCCTCTGCTTTCTGCATTCACGTATTGATGTCAGTGGGAAAGGGCATGGCCTGGAGAACGTGTTTGTTGGTTAACCGTTGCAGATCTCAACGTGAGAACAGGATAAGAAGCTTACCTCTCTTCTTTTCTCTGTGTAACGCCAACGTGCTGGCTTTTAAAAAACCTCAGTGAAAAATTTGGTGGATTTTTTTAAACCCCTCCGAAAAGAAAAGTAAAGCAAGAAAGAAAGCTAATTAGATTCCTGCATATTTCAAAAAGTCTAATGGTTTTAAGGTAGATCAAGTGCTGGTTCGGTGAACGTCCTCTCTGTAGAAAGAGACTCACGTGACTGGAGCACACGGAAGGACCAAAAATGTATTCTGTGGAGGCCACTTTTCTCCTGCTTCAGTAGAAATGGAGAAAAAAAACAACAAACGGAAGCATCAAGTTCCTCGAAATCTTTCTGCAAACACAGGGCCTCTCTGCTGCATAACGTCAGACCGGCGTGCTGCCGCCCAGGGGTGAGCAGGTCGTTGGAAACTCAACGCACTTGGAAGGTCCCTCTTGGAAGGGGATATTTCACAGTAAGGTTATGGGTTGACCAAGCTATACGGAGTGCTTTTACCAGTCACCGGCCAGCTCCTTTGCAACTAGTTCCCTTTCTGACTCTGCCCAACAATTCGGACCATTAAAACCAGCATACCCCTGTTGAGGAGACGCATTTGAGTACAAAACAAACTCTTAGGACCACCGCAAAGCCTCTTCCGCACCGCCGAGGCCGGGCCCACACAGCTCCCATGCTGTTACTCAGCAACTTCCATCAGACAACCTTGCTTGCGCTCGGAGGTGCCACCCGCAGAAACCACCACAGCTGTCTTCATCTCCGTGACCTAGAAGGCAGGCTCGTGTTCTGGAAAAAGCAGCTCTTCTTCAGACAAAGGAGATCCATGGAAAGAGTACACAACAATAGGAATGAGAAATGAAAACAACAGAAAGAGGGCCAGGAAGGAATGTGCATTCCTTTCAGGTTTTGTTCTCGTCATACATGTCCAAAGCAGGCTCGATGGTGGAGAATTCGCTCTCGTAGACCAGACTTCGAGGGGACAGAGAATTGCGATGAAAGAAGTGACTGCCTACAAGAGGGAGAACAAAACCTGGTTAGGGACACACGTAAGAACCAAGCAAAGCATCCTTGAGTGTGAGTTCTGTCTGCAAACATGGAATGTGTAGACAACACAAACCCTTCTCAACACAAACCAACAGCTGTGTAGGGTGGGTAGCAAAGGAGAGATCACAGCCTGCAAGTTCTCACCATGCAGAAAAATTAGTATTGACATTGGTACCACCAGTCACTGAGGTGCATCAAAGTCTGCTGGCAAGGCCAGGCCCACTGCTGCCTCCTGTCACATCCCTGCTCTGGGTGACAGGAATCAGCTGCCATAGACCCGGATGAAGCCACACGTTGCCTTATTGCATAGATTAAACACGTTCCATCCGCTGTGCAATGCTGAAGGCCTGGCCGTGGGGCTGGAGGTCCTACAAGCCCCACTGGGCCTGGTGCCGAGGCGCACCTCACCTTTGTCCAGGTATCTTTGCAACATGAAGCTGACATTTCAGACCCCCGCCCATCACATCTGGAGGTGCTGCAGGGCTTTGCCTCCATCCATGTGCTGCTTCCAAGCACTGCTTTTCATATGCATGAGCAACCCTGCCTCCAGCAGTGCTCCCAGATAACACAGGTCAAGTCTGAGCAAGGCTGGGGCAAGCCTGAGTTTTGCACTGCGCCTTGCTTTTGGTTTACAGCTTCACAGAACCAGAAACCTTTGCTAGGTGCCCTGTGTCCTGCGCTGTGCATGGCAGCAATCTTATGGAAAGAGGCACCAACATATTTTATTACAAAGAACCATGAAGACCCAGCCCTTTTCTCCAAATGCTGGCAACAGTGGCAATACTTGAAGCCAGCACACATGGTTGCTGACAGAAGCTGGCTCTTCAAGTCCACAGATGTATTTCGCGAGGAGCCAGCCCTGCTGGTGTACACAAGGTTCCCTCTGGAAACATCTATCAGATCAGGCCCTCGGCCAAGATATGAAATTACCTGGTTTCTCGATCCCAGCAGGGATTAGCTGGGAGCAAGGCTGCTTAGATTACAATACACCCAGCACCCACGTGAGCCAAACTCAAGGTAACTGAAGAGCTTCCAAGATCATCAAGGAGGCACTCGGCAAACTGAGATGCCTCCACCTTCAGGCATCAGTGAAGCAAGAAGCTTAGGGGATTGCAGATTCTGTTCTGGCAGAAATCAAGTGCTTAACTCCTCCTTTCTCTGCCAAATTCTGCGTCCAGCCCATGCCATTCTACAATAAAGAGCCTACAATAAAGAGCAATATTCAGATACCGCTGTTCTCAACAGCTCTTCCTTCTTTCCCACTCACCGTAAAGACGACAAAGTCATTACTCCACCATTCTCACTCAGAATCAAAACTCTCAGAAGTAAATGAATTCATTTTTGACCGCACAGTTTACTGAAACAAGCGCTCACATTGCATAAGAGCACACGTGCAGGTGTTTGTAAGAAGTGTGCGCATACTTTGCAGAAGTGCACACCGGGGCATCACCAAAACCCACCTTTCAGATCTGAAACGTGTCCCAAAAGTTAAAGGTTTCAATTGGACGGTGCTTAAATGGAAAAAATTAGAAGTGTTCTTTGTTTTGGCTTTTTTAATGAAACAATGACCTCCAGATGGTCCGGTCTCTTCAAAACAAACAAACAACAAGCCAACCTACTGTGGAATTGCAGCAGATAAAACTGATTTTGAGATTCTTCTGCTCTGTGTCACAGGTAAGGATCATCTAATTCGTGATGGCCGGGTCTCTGCTCACTGTTGAAATAAACCCTGGGTATTGCTTGTTTCATTCCCCCTTTTCTCCACCCGCTGAAACCTTACACACTGAACAGCCAACGCTGAAGCAAAACAAAAGGGGTTCTGAAAGCTGGGCGCTGCTTTTGTTTTCACTACGCAGAAATCAAACAACGGATTAGGAAGCAGGCGGCCGCGCAGCCATTTCCTCTGCATGGGGACACTTCCACTCCAACTGCTTCACGGGTGAGCTTTCACCAACAGGCAGGCAGGACATCTGACAACTGAAAAATTCATCTGAAAAGGGCACGTCCAACACCTCTGAAATCCCTTACTGTGATGTCTTCTTGCTTCTTGGCAACAGAATTGTAACCCACCCACTTCCAGGAGGCTGCACACAGACCCAGACTACTCTGCTTTCATACCACATATGGGACACATCATTCAGCCTTTCTCCAAATGTGTCTCTCCCCATTATTTTTTGTTCCATGTAATTTTTTCACCAGGATTACAGGCATGCTCGACCACACCTCTAAACCCTTTAAAGAAAAAAGAAAGCATGTAATCTACCTACCTGTAGATGAAAGACATTGAAACAAAACATCTCTCTGCTCAGCTTGCTAAATCAGATCTATTTTTCTTACTGCTTAAGTCAGATTGTGACCAGCTCCTCCAGACCTCACCAGCTACATGTGGCCAACCCACTACACACAGGGCCGTGTTCTCATACAATGCTTCTTGACCTCCACAAGGAGGGCAGCACGGGCAGGACATCAGAGCACATTACAGCTACCATCAGCCTGCCCTGTGCTCAAATTCCAGCTGCGGTTCAGTGCTTTTCAACACGTAGCTCTGTGCTCTAAATAACCAGATCGGTATCATCACCCACATTTTACAGAGGGAAGTGGAGTCAGCAGGGCAAAGCGACCCAACTACGCTCTTCTTGCAACCAAAGACAGGCTCAGGAGGTTCAGGGTGCACTGCGTACTGCCAGCACTGCTGCCCCTCTTTGCTGCCTGCTTGGAAGAGCCCAGCAGCTCAGGCCAGCCTGTTTGCTAGCTGGGGCATGCTTCAAGGAGCCACTGGCACCCTTCCCAGTGTTCAAACACATGGCATTAGTCTAGTTGGGTTTACTGGATAAATGTGTATTTTAAGGTCAGGTAGAAACCTCCACAGCTCCAAAATTCAGCTTCTGAACCTGTTCTCCCACTGTGCGCTTACGAGACATTAAGGTTTATCCCTCAGGTATGGAGAAAACAAACAGGAAGCTTGGGATCAGTTCTAATGTACTGAAAATGAACTTCTCAGTGTTCTCTGCCACTATTCCTCATTATATAGTTTGGATGAACTTTTCAGATAACTGAAGTTTGAAAACAAGCCCACTAGAGCCTGGAATTTTTCCCATCCTAAGACACTACAGAAGCAGGCACAGTTCAAAGGCCAACAATCACAGACAGTACTGTGGGTGCATTAGTAGGAAGCATCAGCTGCTGTCACCTTCCTGTTCTGAAACCCTCAGGATGGATAATCAGGGCCACCCACCAGCAAAAGCTGCAGTCCCTCCGCAGACACAACTCCTTCGTGCAGAATTACGACCAGAGCGCTTCATCCCAAACAGTTCAAGACTCTTGGTTAAGGACAAACTCACCAATCACGCCGCTGGTGTCAAGAAACAAGTGAAAAAAATACAGCTCTTATTTCACAGCCTGTACCCTGTATCATGCTCTGTCCTCCTTCCTCCATGCTTTGGCAACAAGCTCAGGTGACAGAACGCTGCATTTTTCAAGGAGACAGTCTGCAGACACTGCATGGCCGAGGTTGCTCTGTTCATCCGTGACTATAACGGGGTTTTCCAGGCTTTCAAAAGATGCTTATTGCTCTACTGTCTTCACGTTTCTTCCAAACTTTCACAAGGACACAATGAAAAATAATTCTATTAAATGTACTGAAGCTATCACATACTTCATTTTCAATTATAAAAGCTGCCTTCTCAGCTGAAACCTGCTGGACAAATGAGAATTAAGCAACTAGTTTAATGTATATTCTGGCTGTGTTCCTAAATCCTAAAAGCACCGATACATAAAAATAAAATTAAATTCCCTATTTCCCAGTGCATAAAAAAATTAAATTTTACAGTAAAACTTGTTCTCTCCGTTATTTAATTAAATTAGAAAGTACTGTTTCATAAGTCTGCATCTTTATACCAGAAAAACAAACAAAACTCTGATCAGGTTTTAACTCTGTCAGTGATGTTTTCCTCACCCATCTCTTACCTTCCCCCCATCTCAATAACCCCAACACCAGCACTTGGCTGAGCTGCAGACCTGCATGCTTTAACTGAACGTTGGGAAATTACTCATACACCACTTGCATAAGTGAACTTGTGTGAAACAGCCTGAATGAGGACAGCAGACAAGAGATGTTTTCCCCATCAGTTAGAAGACATGGCAAGAAGGCACAGGTTTGCAGTTTCCATCTTACAGCAAAGACCATTATCAGTGCTTCATGCCCTAAACTGATCAGCAGTTAACCCTGCAGTGGTATGAAAGAAGGCTTCAAAGACATCAGGGGAAGAAACGTTACTTTTTCACTTGGTATTGGGAAGGAAGAAGTGGTTTAGATCAGCTTCACTTTTAGCAGAAAAAGGGTGGGGTGAAAGCAGCAGACAGAAAAGGTTTACGATGTGGTTGTCACAAAAACTCTATTGCCAACCTCAGGCAGCAACAGAAGACGGAAATGGTACAGCAATCCTCCCAGAGTGGGACAGGAAAGATTCTGGAGAAAAACGTTATTTCACATCAAGTTTCAGCTGAAGTCAAGGTAAGCCCATCACACACCACAATTCCTCTTCCCCCCTATGGAGCTGGCACTGAGCAATTGCCAGCTACACCACTTGGTCATTCCAGTGCTGGGTGGCATCGTAAGAATGACACTGCAACAGATTTCCACTTATGAGCATGGGTGGCCCAAAAGGAAGAGAGATTACAGATCTGCAGAGATGAAATCATTCAAAAGAAACAAAACAGAATTTGCAAGAGTCTGTCAAACAATGCTAACACAATGGCCGTGACAAATGAAACTCACAGAGTAAGATTTCGTAATTAAAGTTCATTTATTTCTTCACTTTTTTTCCTTAATACAAAGCTTTGGCATCAGCAAATTTTTATGAAAAAATAGGATGTACTAAATAAACGCTTGTGCTGCACGATCGATAAATGAAGCATAAAAATAGGTGTCTCTCCCCAAGGCAATCATCCGGAAAGCACTTCTTCAATACCATTCTGCTCTGTGGGGCACAAAAAAAGGTACAGAATATTTATGTTACAGTTAGCACTGTCAATACTCAAAAAATAAAATCCTGCAAGAGGAAGTTAGAGAGAAATGGCTAATTGCACAGCGCTGGAAAGGCTCGCTCCTACACCTTGCAATGCTTGCCCTTCCCATAAAAAGAGCCAATCAAGCAGTAGGCAACAAAAGGAGTTGCAACAGAAAGTAGAAATGCAACTCTCATGAGAACCCACATCTGGTGGATACAACAGACTACGATTCCTTTGTCTTCCTCCTAGCGATGTGGAAATACCAGGGACACAGATATTCCTGTTCCACATGCACACAGCTTATCTTCCTCCATGCTTTCCCAAGCTGCTCTGGGGTGCAGATTAGCAACATTCAGCTACAGCTGAGGTGTCAGCTTGCACATAGTTGGTTGCAACCTCAAGAATTTGACATGTGAAAAAAAAAAAAAAAACAAAACAAAAAAAAAACCCAGCCAAAATATTTGAATAGGCTATTTGAAGATCTAAAACTTTTCCCCATTAAGCTTTTTTGGAATTAGATTCTCCAAAGAAGAGAAAGAGTCACAGATTAGCAGAATGTGAAAAACTCTGATAACCTCAAAGAAGTTGCACTACATTCCTGAAGATTAGCTTGAGACTGTCCAAAAATCCTACACTGGAGGCCACCAGACATCTTCCCATCCTGCTGAGAAGGGAACCTTAACACTTTTGTGGCTCTTTGGAAAGTATTTGTATTTATTTTTTTCCTCTCATCTCAAAACCAAGAGACTGGAATTATCTTTACAAAGCCATACTTCCATACTGCACAGGGGAGCCTGCCTTCCAATATATCTCTGCATCTAGATCACAAGTCCAGATGTTCTGTACACTTCAAACAAGAACAGCCAGCTCTACCTAGCTCATGCATCTGCAGAACACATTTATACTTGCCCACACACAGAGCTATGAAGGAAGACTGGAAATCACATGATAATCATTTCTGGCCCAGCCTGTCTGAAGGGAAGCAGCAATGAGTCTATAAAAATTAAGAAAGAATTGGTGTCTGTAAGCACTCCAGTGAGTGCAACTCTTAAGCATTTAAAATGAGAGGTCAGAAAACAGGTCAGCTCTACCCACACAAGATGCAAGAAATGGTTGCGAATCATTGCTTACATGATTCTCTCCTAAAAGTTATAAAATCATCTAAATATCTTTTTTTCTCAGCTGGAAGTGAGCTCACTGGGGGGAAAAAAAGATTTATTTCATTTATTTCTTTTTAAAATATCAAATGACTCAGAAATTGAGGTGGGAACTGTCAGAGGTAACGGATGGCAGCAATTCCTGGCTCTGCTGGGTGAATTTTGAACACGGGGATTTAATGACAAACCCAACACTTCCCCAGACCACTGATTAAAAAAAACCCAACACAACAGATCTTCACATTCTCTCTTTTCACCCTCCCTCATCTGTACCTTGTGAGATCTCCTCAGACCATTCAGCTAACTATATATTAAGGAGGAGTTCAGATGTTACCCTGGAACCTACTGCTGGAGGCTTACATTTGAGAAAGGCAGAAAAGGCATTTGTCATTTTGATAAGTGCATATATATATATACACACACATAATTCCTTGTTTTGTTCTCATGGTATTCCTTCCCAACGTTGCCTGTGACACACACCCACCAGAAACGTACAGAAACAGCCAAATGTTTACTTACTCATTAGCATTCAAGCTAGCTGTGGCTTTGATGATCATGTAGCAGAGTGTAAGGGCACTGAGGAGGCCAAAACTGGCAATAATAAACCATTCTTCTGTTGACAAAGGAAAGGGAGGAAATCACTCGTGGGAGAAGGCTTATGTCAAAGCGATGCCAACATTCCCCTCAAACACCACTGGCGGAAGGCAAAGGGCTTCTAAGCCACGAGTGGCACCAGGAAGCGAAGCAGAAGGAGGTTAGCCACAGAGCTACTGACGGGAGAAGGCTAGCAAAGAAGAAGTGGAGAGAGGTGTGGAAAACAAGCATGGCACAACAACATCTCCTGGCTGAGCCCCAGGATTGGCGATAAAGAAAGATTACTTTACAGTGTGAAGGGAACTGTGGGAACGAGGGAAAATGTAATGAAATCTCAGTCCACCCCCAGGTCAGGAGGTGGACTGTTATGGTTGGTTGGGGTTTGCTGAGATGTGTCTCTTCACATAAGCATTTACTTTCACACTTCACTTGTGTCTTCACCCCCTCCCTCCTCAATAAATGCCACGTTACTTTTAAAATAAATAAGATAAGATCACTTATTTGACAGTAAAACAACTACAGTTTTCCACATAATAGACAGAAAGACAACAGGAAATATAATTTCAAGGTTAGTATGTAAGTACAGACATTAAAAACATAAAGATGACTATTAAAGAATGTTCTCTACTCAAAGTTCTCTCCTGGAGATGAATTTAGCACATAGTAATACAGTGAAACACAAACACCTTTGTGAATATGGCTTTTGGTTTAACTCATACTCATCAAAAAAATGTGTCATCCACGAAATCTAAACATTTCAACAGCCTTTTCTAAAGCTTTATTTGATAAACACTGTCAGCATGAGCTCTTGCTGACATTTCTCATTTCATCCTGGCATCCCATCTGTCAAGGTAAGTGCTATGGTTGGGAATAGAGAGCAAAAGCACCTTCTGTAAAACCAAGCAGTTGAAATTGCAGTTAAACTGCAGAGTTTTCCCATCCATGACAACAGAAAGAGCATACAAACAGCCTTGGTGTCTGTTCAAACTGTTCAACACAACTGAAAACACAATGAATGACAAGTTGAACACTGCAGGTCAAAGTGACATATTGGTTTGGGAAAGGATCTAGATTACATGTTCGCATTTCTCCTTTTCAGATCAAGACATTTCTAGTCCTGGGCTCTGTGTTCTGTGAGATGAGGTTCCTTTAGTAACATTTACCTTGCTCAAGTGTCTGAAGAGACACTCTGTAACGGACTGCATCAGTTACACTGCTTTCACTAGCAGTGGATAGCAGCACTGGCTTCAAATCCAGATTTTAGATGCACGTAAGGGAAGTACAAGGAGTAAACCAGACTGAATGAATTCTATTTCTGCAGTTCAGACAGAAAAGCAACCATTCATGTATCAAATCAAGATTCCATTGCATACAGAAAAATGATATAATTCCACATAATGTTTTTGTTACAGAGCCATTATATAATAAAACTCCAGGTAAAATCCAGTCAGTGCATATTTCCCATGCTGTAAGCCCTCACCCACAGGAACCAGTACAGCAGGAATAGTATCCTGAGGTCATATGACACTTGGACAATACTCAAATGTTGATATGTCAAAACCAGGTTTTTTTAATACAAAAACTTTGTGAGAAAAGCCATCTGCTAAGGGACACCAGAATTCCGGCAGTAATGCTGTCAGGAGGAAAAAAAGACTGCAGAAGTAATAATTGACTAAGATGTTTACACACGTATAAATTATTGGATGTCTTTTGGAAATGGTTTTGGCAATCCAGCTTACACTGATCACCGAATTCAGGAGGGCTGTTCTGCTGCCATTTTAGTTCACCCTTTGTTCTTTGTATGCATTTCTAAATGGATACACGATTAATAATGGAAGTGCTGGCACTGCTGCAGGCAGCTTTTGGTTTGGAGTGCCCAGGGACACCGAGCTCACCTCCGTTTCTGCAGGAAGACCTTTTATCACAGCCCTGCAGCACAGAGGAGAGCAGAGCAAGAGCCCCGTCCCAGGAAAGCCATAGAACTGCAACGGAAGCCAAAGCAAACTTACTTGTTACAGCAATGTTGATCTCTCCCGACCTCGGAGTGAGCTCCCCATCCTGGGGAAGCTGCGACATGCCGGAGGTGCGCAGGGGCTCCAGGCTCAGGGAGCTGTCGTTGGCGAAGTCGCCGAGCGCTGAGCGCCTGCTGGCGGGCTGGCTTCTGCTGAGCCTCTCCATGTCAAAGGCCACGTTATCTGTGCACGGCACATTGGGCTGAAAAACACAGCGATCCCTCTTTACAGGGAGGAATACTCTACATGCAATGATCCCGTAAGGATAAGCGCACAAACGCCTCATTTTGCTGCTGCAGCTCAGCTGCCTTTGGATCACAGGGTAGAAACGTGAACAGACGAGCTCTTCCCTTTTTCTTTTACTTCTTTCCTCGAAAAAACACTGCTCCTACCTGACAGTTTTTTACTTATACGGGAAAAACACGAAAAATCCTCTTTGAGCTTTTTTTAAGTCTATTCCCTTGCGAATCAGTCAACAAAAGCAGTACTCTGAGATTCTATGTGCTGGTTAATGCACAACCAAGGAAAGGCTGCTGGCCTCGGCCATGGCGCTCTGCAGCTCTGGGCATGGATTTAACGTGCCAACAGATCTGAGAGCATCTACAGGAGAGCACAGTAAGAACAAGAGCTTAGAGAGAAAACAAAGGAAGACTGAAAGAATTTGAGAAAAGGGAAGACTATAGAGAACGCAGTAGATTTACAACACATTAAGAATCTAAATTCTAAATAGGAACACTATAGAATATTCTTAATAATCATCTAGGGGAAGAAACAACCACTAAAAATGAACTTTATCAGCAGCACAAAAAGCCTGGTAACTAATGGCAACACAGCCCCAGACCCTTCTGACTAAGAGCACTGGAACATCCTTCATCTTTTCTGCTCTGAAGACATTCCTTCTGCTCTGAGTCTCAGAGATGGAAGGGAAAAGAGCTTGTTCAGTCCAACTTACCACAATTCCCAGGGCCTTCAAAATGTTCAGTTTACACATTGGACACGTACAGTGCTCACTGAGCCACGGGTCCACGCAGGCTTTGTGAAAAACATGCCTAGGAGAACAGACAAGGCACATATATAAGCTGCAAACCATTATACTACGTCATGAGAACTACTTTGATGCACTTCTAAATTGTTTCTTCAAGTCAGCAGGACAAATTCTGGAATTGCCAGCAAGTTATGCTAACTGCAGTAAAAAAAAAAGAAAAGAAATAAAAACCTGAAGCTCTTGCTACCAGTTACAATCTCCATTTCCAAGCAGAACCTGGTGCTGAATCAGGAAAGAGGACTGCAGATCCACCAGGAGTCAGTTTCATTTAAAAGCCAACACTAAAGTACTTAGGTTTGATGCTGTAAGTGCTTTATAATTAGCACATCTAAGTGAAGAGAACAAGGTTTTGAAAGGCTTCTGACTACAATTAGCATTGCTTGATATCTGTAAGGAAATTAGCAAGGAAAACATGCCCATCATACCATGGCCACAGGAAACCAAAATCTTTCAGAAATAGAAATGGCAAGAGGAGCTTCTGTTTGCACAGCAGGAGCTCTGCATTGGTTTACACCATCTGAGTCACATCCACAGTACAGACGTAACTGCATTGGATGGGTACAAACCAATAGAACACGGAAGGACTATGCAGACTGCAACATGCCTACCCTAAAGAAGTTAAATCAACCCTCCTGCTGGCTTTCCAAGATGAGCAGAAGCTTTCAGCACATACTCAGGAAAAGGTACTGCTGGACTTGACGCGAGTCAGATTTAGAAAATGCTCATGGCTGCCCAGGCTGAATGGCTGCCTATGATAAGAGCACACACTGAGGAACGTGTTGGACTGCTCTGTCAAGCACACTTAGCAATGTAGCCTTTAGCAATGTAGCCTTTAGCAATGCAGCCATCATGAAGAACAGGAGAGGTATGTTGTCTGCAGTTTAAATACTTGCACAAAATACAAATGTCTCCCATTATTAGTTCTTAGCAGATTCCCTTATTACTCACAGAACTTCAAACTGTGTTTAGAAGTCCTGGGTGACAGAAAATGGTTTGAAATCTTCTGAAACACACAATGATGCCATTTTTCTGCATTGGGAAAATGCGGCTTTTAGTTGCTTGTATTTCCTTTTAAAATTCTCAAAGGCTGTCTCTGAGAGCAGGACAAAACCCAGAACAGCAGACACTGGGACTCCACCAAGCAGGAAAACAGCTTTAATATATGGTTATCAGCTAATCAGGGCTGCAGAAGCACTCAGATCAAGCAAAGCAGGATACCCATATGGATGCCAGCACGGGTCCACTAAATGTTACACGTTCTTTTCAAGTCATTAGCAGTTTGACAGAGTTCAAATGCACCAGGACAGTTCAACTCTTCTGGCAACCTCTTTATTCTTTGCTTTTAGCTCCTAAGCCTTCTAGGACATTTATTAATGCATTTCAAAAAAGAGCAGTGCCCCCAGGGTTATTTATTGATTTAGATCAGTGTGGCTCAGCCTACTACTTACGCTGTGTCTCTGTTGCTTAAGCAGCTTACTGATACCATCATCATGGCTCGGGCTCTGTCTGGCTTTCTCTTGCAAAAGTTAAAGCAGTTACACAGCAACTAAGACAATAAACACGTGAATTATTTTTGAAATTAGTCTGACAAAGTGAGCCTTTGCATTTTCTGCCATCATAAACCTTCTCCATCTTTATCCCTCTGTCACTTGGTCAATAGCAAGCTATCCAAGACCATAAATCTCAGCTCCCAGCAAGCTGCCCTGGGTCACGGCTGTAGACGATGCTCCTGCAGGAGCCACGTGTCTGGGAGCAGTGTGACACAGCTGCACCCTTGAGGCTGCAACACCCAGCCAGCAGCACTGCAAGAGCCTCCCATGCGGGCAGGGCTCCAAACAGGTGAGCTGCAGGTATTTTTCCGCTCTGTCAGCATGCCTAGGAAACACCATAACCCTCTGTTGTGCCACACAGCCTCATAAATGCTTGGGATTGGAAGGGGCAGAAGGACAGCCATTGCCATGGGTAGCAGAAATGCTGCTGGAAGGACAGCAGGGAGTGTCACGTTGCTGCTTTTTCAGCTGCAGAGAGTCAAACACAGGTGAATGTGGCTTAGTCACTTTTGCCACTTGCTGCCCCCATTTTGCCCAGGGCAGGAAATAGTAAGAATTAGGCTTAAAACTCATTTATTTTAGCACAGTCAACATTCAGCCTCATCCTACCAGCTTGCTGCTCTTTATAAGCACCGTGATCTTCCTTCCCAGACCATCTCTTGTCCTTTCCAATGTTTCTGTGCTTTTCTTCAGTTCATCACTTTGCTGTCACCCTCCCTTATCTCTTATCTCTATCTTTCCTTCACACTACCTTTTTCCTGATCACTCTTAACCCAGTGCCCATCGTTTCCCAGATGCTGTGTGATGCTGAAGTGGAACAATCTGTTTAAAGAACACTATCCAGAAGGCTCGACTTCAGCTACATTCCTTCCAGTGTTTGCATCCACTGCTTATTCTAACTCATAAAACGTTATTCACAGAAGACAGAACTGCACTTCAGTTCTCTAAGTCCAGGGAAGAAGGCTACCTTGCCCCTGCGCATGAAAAGCTGTAGGTATGGATTTAATGATCCTTATGGATCCCTTCCAATTCAGGACATTTTGTGACCATACGCTGCTCGTACTGAACATATTTCTTTCTGAAGAACAACACGAATGACTGCAAATACTGCACTAGAGTTTCTATCATTTTCATCAGCTGTATGCCTGTCCAAACCAGATGCCTCTCCATAGAGATAGCGTGACAGACCATACTTAACTGGAGAGAACAGTTCTTGTATCAAAGGGAAGCACCACTTTTCAATCAATACGTCAGCGATTCCTACTGTCTAATGATTATAGCTTCCTCAAAACGCACAGTAAGGACTGCTAGCCCTTCATTTGCTTCCTCTTGGTTGATCCCTTTTCTCTGTGAGAAATTTATTTTCTCATCCACCTTTGAGATTCTCCTCTTTTTTTTTTTTTTAACACTAGGTTTGCATGTTGCACCAAAAAGGAGACGTCAAAATGTCAGGAAGTAGAAAGGGGTTAAATCTCTAAAACAAGACGTGAGGAGACGCACCTCAGTAGACTGAGAAGTTTTATATGCAATCTGAAATTCATCTGGCTTATCTCTGCAGGCACTGGTTGCCCCTTCGCTCATTCTACAAGTATAAAAAAAATCTTTTAGAAAGTATCCATCCCAATGTTCCATCTAACCAAGCGAGGTCTGTGCTTAACTCAAAGCTGAACTGAAGCAGATGAAAAGTGAGATTTCAAAAAGAGAACTAGAAAGTGAACATGAAAGTCACTGCGCAGCCTTCAGCAGGAATGCAGTCAGAGCCTTCCCTGACCTTATATTCTTTTGAAAAGCAGAACAGAAAAGGAACTGTGGAAAAGGCTGAATGGGGCATAGCAAGGAGGGGAGCTGTGCATAGGCAGCAGCCAGGTGCAGCCCCCAGCTCCCTGCAGCAGCTGTGACCAGGGGGCTCTGCCTGCAGCACCGTGGCTTGCAACAGGCATCTGAAGGAAATGGACTTGTAAAATGAATACACAACCATCCTGCTCAAAAGGTCTGTGTCACATCTGCTGACAGTAACAAGACATCTGCGGCTTGGGCAGTGCTGGGCACTTATCTAGTGAAGTGGCCTTCAGACTCCATTTTGCTCTGTGCTCAGCAGTAGGAGATGGTTCCTCATCAACTGTGTGCTCTACATTGGCAAGGACCCCTCACTGACCTCTCCTCAGCATCAGAGACTGAGGAGTGGGATTTGTGAGCACCCACTGCAAACCCTTGAGTCTAAACCCTGAGTTCCATCCATCAGCCTTGTGGCTCAGAGCTGGTGAACAGTTTCCAGAAGTTTCTCCTCTGACTTCCAAACCTTCCTCATAAATGAAGGACTAGGGCATAACTCACACAGGCACACTCTACATGAGATCACAATATATGACAAAAGTGTCTCAAAACTCAACAGTTGGGAATATATTTTAACAGGCAGGAGGATGTCAGCTTTGAATGAGTAAAAATGATTGAACTGTAGGAAGAAATGGACACCCGTCTGCAAGATCCAAACCCCCCCCAAACCCTCCTGAACTTCCAAATATTTTAATGGTAGTTTCTGAACAAACATTTGTTGGGTACATTAACTAAACACAACACTATCGAGAACCTAAAGCAGTTCATTGTTTTCCCCACAGTCCAAGAAATAAAGAACAGAAAAAAGTAAAAACTAATTAAGCTTGGTTTCAGAATTAGAATACACACATATGTTGATTTGCTAAGATAGAAAATATTGTTTCCCTTTTAACATAATAGAAACTCATTATGAATTAGAATTAAAGATATCCAGCTACGCAGAGCAGCCCATAGGAAGATTCAGAAGACTGATAATGAGCTGCTACACACTGCTGCTGTGTGACCCAAGGTTGACTCCAACTCCATGACTGAGATGCTTCTAGTGCATCATGCACACACCAAATTACTGGGTCCTGGCTGTATGTTTGCAACATAACATGCATTTTTTTTGTGCATTGGGAGATAAGGAGAAAGCCCTGTATATCAGAATGCAAGGGAAAAATGACCTTGGTAATGCTTATGGCTACCAAAAATTACCCAATCACTGAAACCAATAACCACGAGGATAAGCACTTAAAAGCATCTAAGAGCAAATATCCCATAACTGAAGAATGGAAATGAACTGAAAACCTGTAGATGTCAAAAGGGCAAAAAAGAAATTGCTGTGTTTTAAGCACCAGTACAGAGCATGCAGCAAGCAGTAGTCCTCAAGCCAAGAATCCATTGCACTGGAGAGACCAAAGACAGAGAGCACAGCGGTTGATTGGTGTCAAATGAGGTACAAAGGCTGGAAAGACTGCATCTGCCTCCAGCACTATTTCGGAAAGCCACAGCAGCACTGCACGGACACTGCACAGAATGCTGCTGCTGCACCTTGTTCATCACACTTCTGTTTGTCTGCCTGCTGTTCCAGCCCTTAAACCTGCCCCAAACCTCAAATATAAGCAGCTCCACTGCTAACGCCTGAACCACTCATCTGCAGACCTGGTTTCATACAGTCTAAAATAAAATGGCTGTTATTAGGACAGGAAATAGTTAACATACGTATCTAGAAATTACAGTGCATATTTAACATGAAATGAAGCAAAGGAGCAAGAAGAAAAAAACAGTTTCCAAACAAAGCAACTCTACTAGCTTACTTGCACGGTAAAATGCGAACAACATCGTTCTGCTTGTAACTCTCAATGCAGACAGCACAATGATCAAAGTCTGGGTCTGTCTCCTAAAACAAACAGAATGAAAATTCAAGTCAAGAGCTTTGGCTGTGACAAAGGTAAAAGTAATTGTAATTAGTACAAGAACCATGCTGTGTCAGAGCAAATATTACCAAGAAGACACAGAAATGATGGCAGGGTGGTTGCATTCCAACACGGCTCAGGAAAGAGAAGTATCTCATGCACACAAAACCATTCCCCTTCACTCGAAGCTGATAAGTGACCATATGAAACATCAGCTAAGATGTTTATAATATCCAGTTGAATTCTTGTGGTACAAATAGTAGGGATTTCCCTCTGGAATCACCTCAGCTTTGAGGTAAAAAAAAAAAAAAAAAAAGGGTTGGGTTTTTTTGTTTTAGGATAAGCTTTTTGGGAATCCTGCTAGCACACAAAACCACTCAGTCACAGCTGCCAGATGGAGCACAAGAAGTACTTAAGTGAGAAAAACTCCTTTGAAATGTGCAAACTTACAGCATACAGCAAGACCACGAGTTACACAAAACACTGTGCCATACGATAAGCAGTCTCCAACAAGGAGGGGAAGATTGGAACACCAGGAGAGAAAGGAAAAGCTGAAAAATAAACTGTTTCCTCTAACAAAAATAAAACACGATGCCCACGTTTATCATGTTGAAATATCATTATACCTTATCTCCCTTCTTTACTGTCCTGGTTGTGAGTTTACCAACAGCTTTCTTGGCAGCATCTCCAAGGCGACGCTAATGAAGTGACAAAGGAGAGAACACAAATTAACTCTGATAATCAAGCTTCATTACTGCCTGTTATAATGACTTATTTGGGCTCAATACTGCCACTGCAATACACACTGACAGTGGGCCAACACTGCGATTAGCAGCATAAACAGCAAAGCCCACAGTTAGAGATTTGTCAGGAAACAAAACAACTCAACAGCAGAGCACAGGAATGCACTCAGTGTGTGGGCATAAAGCTCACACACTGCACAGGGCTCCGCAGAAGTCACCCAACACGTGTGACAAGCTAACTCATCCCAGCCTGTAGTACAGGAGCTGAAGCAATGTGCCCCCCAGTGATTTCTGTCATCATCCTCTCCCACTGCTTTTTATTCAGCATGCTAGAACATACTCTGTTCTCTTAGGCTTGAATTTTTTCTCCCCCCCAAGCACAGACTGATCTTGTTCTGAGACATAACAGATCCTCAGCGTAACCTAGTTTATCCTGCCCTTACCTGAAACCACTGCTACCACACAAAGCACAAGTTTGTGGGTCATGAAATCTGAAAGATCCGATTTAGACCTGAATATAGCCAAAACGAATGCTGGTTTCAATATTAACCTCACTCTGACAGCAAAGGCCAAGCTGTTTTTTGCTGTTTGCAAAATGACCACCTCTGGGTGCACGCTGCCCTCCTGTGCAACCATCACCAGCTGCTGGCCTGTGGGTCCCAGGCACTGAGCAGCACAAGGCTCGCACCTTCTCGTATCAGGAGACTGGGTTTACATTTACTGGAAGAAAGGAAGTTCCCATATTTTGTCTTTCACCCCTCTTGTACTGAACACTCTGCTTTTGAGAGAGACCAATTCTAAGAACATGAAATGCACATGCCAAAATTCCCCATGCAGCTTGGATGGAACAACCGTGCATTTCTTGTGCCTACCTACCTCCTATACACTTGAAAAGCCAAGTTCTTCAACTACCTCGCCCCATATAAGCACTTCCTTTCTTCCCATATAAGCTAAGGCTGTTTTTATTGGAGAAACACAGAGGCCTCTGAAGGCCTTTACAGCAGTGTGTACCAAATCGAGGACTGGCCAACTGCACCAACATTATTCTGGAATTACACAATTCAATTCTGGTTGTTGTCTCCACAGAAAAACAGCTCCTTCATTTCATGGGGTTTTTTAGGACACCGATGCATGGGGTGTCTGGAGTACCATCCGGAACAGAGGTGGGATGGGGAAGCTCTTCGCCTCCTAAAGGAAGAAATCTCATCCTAACTTCAACACGTGAGAAACCAGTCAGTATAAGCAAACCTAAGCTGTGCATCCTGGAGCAAGCATATTGGCTCCAGCACTGAAAGACACAACACCGAAGACTGCTGGAATGATTATCATGCACAGCCAAAGTTGACTGCTAAGAGAGGAACAACGCTGAGAAGGCACGGCAGGGGCTTTCCGTGACCAACACCACCCACCTGAGTCACTGGGGGTAGCACACATAATTAGCCATGCTGCCTGTGTTTGTACTACGTGAAGTCTTTGAAAATCTGCTCCAACCGAGAAAGGATCAATCTCAGCAAAACTCTCCCAAAACACATATTGCATTCTCACATGGAAGGAAATCTGCTAATGGCAACTTCCATCTCCATTCAAGAGATCCACCTTTTCCACCTTCTAATTTTAACAGGACGTTTTGAAATGCTAACCTTGGGGACACTGAGGATTTGCTGTTTGGTTAAGTTTTAGGGCATAGGCATGCAGCGTATGCTTGCTTTAAAACCCACATCAACCTCAATGGAAAAAGGGCACCAGTACATGCAAAGGAGTTTCGTACCTCGGTGGAAACGCACAAGAGTAACCATGTGAAATACCCATATCTACTTGCACTATCTATAAAACACAGCATGGTTTTGAGGGTTTTTAATTTATTATTATTTTTTTTCTTAAACAGGTGCCTCCAGCCCCAAGCTATGATCTTGTTTTTCAGTTAAAACAAGTTATTTCCCCGCGCAGCCTTCTCTCTGAGAGAGCTTTCAAAGCTCTTCAAAAACAAGCCGGAGCCGTCGCCACCTCCTCATCAAAGTTTAATAAGCTCAGCTTTTTAAACCACATCAAATTTTCATCAAGTTTCTCCTGAAAATCTAAAGAAAGAAGAAAGGTCACAAAAGCCCCCTCCCCACGGAGCAGCTGCTTTGAGATATTTGGAAGAAGCCTCAGACCGCTCAGGGGATGCAGCAGGCACAATTCAGCACTCCACAGACACTCCTGGAGTCGCAGTTCTATTTAAACTTCTACCGCCCCCAGGGACCACACTAAGTACCAGCCACAGCTCGCTCACCTCAGAATGACACCCCTAGGAAAATCTAACGGGACCGGCAGCATCAGATGCTATTTCCAGAAACTAGAAAGGAAATCCTTTGTCGCAGTTGAGGCTCTGTAAGTCTGCGTTTGTTTTAGGTTTGACAAAGCGCTGTCAAGAGCCAAAAGAGCTGCCCCGCAGTTTGCCCTTAAAGATCAGTCCTAAATCAGAGGAAGAGGGACAGCAGCTAGAGGTCAGCAGCTTTGTAAGGCACCCTTGACAGAGATGCACAGAGCCAAAGAGAGCAGTCACTTTTTTCCTCCTTTGCAATAAAAGCCAGGACACACTACTGAGACAGCAGGTCATTGAGTCCACGACAGTAAAACATTTACTTCTAAAGTTTAAGCCATATTTACATTGATGACTTCACTTATTCGAGACCTCTGGGCATGGGTGCATTTAATTCAGATCTAAGTTCATACAGTAACAGAGAAAAAGAATCAGAAAGGCACACTGGACAAAATATTACTTAGCATATATGACCAAGAGAATTAGGCAGTCCTTATCAAGTATCATCTTAAAGTCAGTGCAGAACACTAAGCAACTCTGTATCTTAGTTTTCTTACCCTAATATTCATTAATTTACAGTTTGGGAACAACAACTGAACTACCTCACTTATTACTAAAGCTAGCCTTAATAACAGATGGAATGAATAACATTAGCTTTGAACTCCACCACACCATATAAGCATAAGCACAATTTTTCACTCTCCATTTCCAACGTCCATTCCAAGAAAGCAATTCTCCACAGAATACTGTACACAGCAACAACAGCTCCAGAACACGGAGAGGAAAAAACAAAATGCCCTTACCTGATTCCTATCACGTGCACTCGTGTACCTGATCTTCTGGATGAAGTAAAATATTAACCACGCTGAAGAAATTATCATCAAAACAATGAAAGATATTGACACAAAGACTAGGGAGCCCCGACTGAAGTTCTTTAGAGGAACACGGGAACCCACTGCTATGGCCATCAGGACAGAGATGTTCTTTTCCAAGTAATTCAGGATCTCCTTCACTTTTGATTCTGTAATCATTACAGCAACAATGTCTCCAGTTCCTATAAAAAGAGAACAAAAATTAATTAACATTTAAAATCCACAGAGCATGATGCCAGTAAGATTTTCCATATGCAAAACCACTTGGTAAATAATTTTATCCAAGTCATGTATGGCATACTGTGCGCTCAACTCAAGGCTCATCCTTCCAACCCAAGCTTTCCAGGTATGCCAACTGTTTGCAGCTGCACGCGTCCTACCAGGTAACAGTGCTTCCCACACTACAACGACTGTGCACAGCCTGAACAGATCTTAAATCGTATACTTGGTCCAGATTGGAAGCTGTGATTACTAGAATAGGCAACTTAGAGAAAAAACACATTTGGAAGATGAGCGGTGTCAGTATACACAGAGCTGAGCCGGGGGAGTTCGGCAAGTTCCCCGATGTGGTGATGAGGATATCACATGCACACAGACTGCCAAGGACCTACAGATCACAATTCCAAAGAAGCCAGAACTTCACCCCCACCACTTCCCATAGAAGCGGAAGTAGAACAAACAAGACTGGCTGGAAAGTGGAACAGAAATTAAAACTGAGCAGAAATATGAGAGCAGATTTTATCATCCAACCAGAGACGTGCTTAATAAAGTAGCAAAGAGCTCCTGAGACAAAAAAAAAACTGGTGTGCCATTCTTCCTCATCAAGATCTGCACTGAAATCCCTTCTCAAGATCTATTTTCAAGATGCTGGTGAAGGCTGCTCATCTGCTCCTTCCATCTGTCTGCACCAAATCACATTCCCTAAAAGAGGAACAGTAGAATGTGGGTGATTTCAGCACTGCGTTCTGGCTTTGGAGCAGATTTGAGCCGGAGAACTTGGCGTGACAAGATCCTGTGTTAACAAAGGGGATTTCTTTTAAGTCCTTTCATCAGAACCCTATTTTTAAGAAGTTACTGTACCCAGAATATAAAGTAGAAGAATAAAAAGAACAGAATCTTTGAAACTGAGGGCACAGTTAGTCAGGGCGACAAGTCCAAAACCACTCATTTCCCCGAAATGGGGCTTTGCTTGAGCGGCATAAGTTGTTTAAGTGTTACTCTGCTGCTCTTCCCATTCACAGAGCCAAATAGTGCCTGCTACAGTCACTGTCCTCAGTTTTCAGAGAGCGCTTCCAGTATACGCCCGAGAGCTGCCAGAACACTCCTGACTTGTCCAGCTGAGAAGTCCTCGCACTTAATGACAGGACAAAAATCTTCCTTTCCTGCAATTTCAAGGTACTGTACATGGATGCAGCACGCACTCCTGCAGCTCGGATGATGCAAGATCAACCCAGAGGTGATAACTGCCTGATGCCCTCCCCAGGCGTCACTTCATTTCCTCACATCTCCTTCTGATAGCAAAGGCAGAGGGATTGTTTTCCCCAGGGCATTTGTTGTACTATGCTTCCCCAGGAGGTATTATTTGGCCCACGGCATCACGTTCCTATCCAAGTATCAGCCAGAAGCTCTCAGCACAGCATCCTGACACGATTTATACAGCTACCCGTGAAGCAAAGCTGACTAAGATTTTCTGATACCAGTCCAGTTCCGCCTAAACTAAAAGCTGAAGCCTCCACCTATTCCCTGCTGCCTGGAGAATGTGACAAAGCTGACAATCTGCCACATGTTTTCTATAAGGCCCGGCACAAAGGGAACCTCTGGCATCTCTGCAAAGCCATTTGCATTCCAAACAACTCAGCTGCAAACAGCCCAAGTGCTACTGCTGCCTCTGACCCTGTGAGAGCCAAGGAGAACAGCACGGAAGAAAAATAAATTGTGCCTGCTTAACACCCTGAAACTCAGTGGAAACTGGGACTTGGTTTATCCGTATTCTTGTCAGGGGCATCACCCTAAATAATTATAGCAAGAGCTCCTTGCTTGAGAAGAATTGGGGGCAGGAGGAGGCACTGACTTATTTATTTTCAGCACCTTGAAATCTTGCATTTCTGAAACCTAAGCAGAAAAAAAAATCCTCAGGTGAATACAGACTAACAGCACTTGAAGAAGTTAGAGTGTGGTCTTTATATAAATCTGCTGAAAACCAATGCTCTCCTGAGCAAAGAATGGTGCCCAACTAAAAGGAGCTGGAGCACTACAGTCAATGAACTACACAGCTAAGCAGGAAGAAGCTGGACAGACAGTACACCCCAGATAAATGTTGACACCTGCAAATATAAATCAGCTGCCATCATCCAATCCTAAACAGCTCTAACTTGCAATTTTACTATGTGCATACTTATTGGGATAGCTACACAACTCTATTTATGGAAAGGAAGTTGCCATTAATCGTTAAGCCTGTGGAATACAACGTCAAGACAGGAGATGAGAGAAGGATGCAGCAGGTGAGAAGATACTAGGAACAATGTAATGGGAACAAAGCAACAACCAGAAGTTTCCTGTAGACCTCTGTAGAGCACCACAGAGATTACTTTGCTGGCTCACCATATCTCCTAGCACCTTCAGAAAGTCTACTGAAAGTTGTCTCAAAGGAAGATTCCCAGTCTCACCACCAGCAAACAGTTGTCCCTGCCAATTTCTCTTTATGTTGATTCTCGATTGCCAGACACTTCTCTGAAGCTCCAAATACAGACAGCTGTGGGAAGGACACCAAGCTGCAGACAGACATGGTTCAAAGAGGGGACTTCAGGCACCTTCCACCCACCTATCACCCCTGGGAACAGCAGGCAGACAAAACATAACTACCAAGCAGCAGATATTTGCTTTTCTCTTGGGTGTCCAAATGGCCTAAGCAGCTGCTTGGTCAAAACTGTGGGAGAAGGGGTGGTGACAATTCCTGAGCTGCTGCCAGCACTGCAGTGCTGCAAAGAACCTCCTTGCAGACAGGGAAAGCAAATTTAAGATCCCAGCTCAAGAACGGCACGTGCAGGATCACCTGTAAAAGGCACTGAGTGGTTTTGATGGGATGAAAAAAGATCTACAGAAAACTGAGAATTAACCCACTTGCACCAAAAAGGTGAGCACTTTTCTGAGGGCTGCTGTTTTCAGCTAAAGTCTTTGCAACTTCCTTAGCCTTTAACAGCACTTTCTGATGCATGTTGCAGACACAGCATGAAGCACAGACTGCACTCAGCTCACACTAGCAAAAGAATGTTGTTCTCTCTTTAAGTAGCAAACAACATTTAATTGTAACTGAAGCACTGCACTCTATTCTGAAAAACCCAAACTCAACACACATCTATCTGACACATTTTGCAGATGTCAGTTACAAAGACCTGCAAAATCCCCAACTTTCTAATAAAAGTAAAGAACAGTGCAGACAGTTGCTTTCTGGCTGGGTGCAGGGTGTGATTCGGACACTAAGAGCCAAATCGCAACGACAGAGACACCATAATGATCACGTTAATTGGGAACTGCCTGTTTTCACAAACCATTAAAATTCAAAAACCTCTTAAAGCGTTTCTGAACACGCATCAGAAATAAACACATGCACACTGTTCAGCGTGCAGGAAAAGGATCAGTCAGTGCCAGATTTCTTAGATTAAAAAGACAGACCACCACAAACAGCAGTTACCCAGTAGGTCTGGTGGAGCACACCTGACCAAGTGCTTACAGACCTCCAGTGGTCCTTCCAAGCCACGCTCAGTGATATTTTAGACATACTTGCACTAGAATAAAAACTGACCATACTTGTGAACTCCAGTGATCCACATGGAAAACAATACCACCATGGTCTACATTTTGGCTACTACAAGCAGTGAGTTAATGAAGTCACTGTGAGCAAGTTCCAAGACTCCTGTGAAACAACCTTGCAGAGGCAAACACAAAACCAGAAACTTATAAACAAAGGAAGAATGTAACTGCTTCCCCTCCGCCCCCATTCCCCAGGAGAAAACCTCAAAGTAGTTTCTTGATTTGAAGGACGCTTGCTCTTCTTCTATCCCCAAGGAATAGAATACAACTGTCAGAGAAGGTTATCTAAAAAGTCCCGTCTGCAAGAAAGATGACAACTGTGGAAATTAACACAACTCTGAGAACTCACCGGCCAGCAATAATAGAATCTGGGGGCCCACCAAACATTAAAGGAGAAAACAGGAAACACAAAACAAGCACTGTTGTTATTAATGAAGCTTTGAGAGACTGAGTGGGAATTTTTTTGAATGTCCCTGAAGACATCTGCACTGAGATGGAGGAGAGGGAAGGAGAGGACATTGCATTGAAGACAGCAAAGGACACGTGGAAAGGGCAGCCCCCCAGCCACCAAATAAATAAAACAAATGAACACACCACCAGAAATAAATGAAAAGCAGGAACAAGGAATTCAACTACAAGTCAGAGGAAAAGCAATTAAAGAAAAGCGGAAAGTAATGACAAAGTTGACACAAAGGGATATGCTGATAGTCACAGAAAGGTCTTACTGCTCATTTAAGGGTGACACTTCCAAGCTCAGGCTTATATCTATGTTAGAAAATCAACCTCATCACAATGAAAATAACTCTACATGTGCACTGCTAGACAAGGTGGCCTCTGAGAATGCACATCAGTTCCACAGTACTTACCAACAATGGGGAACACACAAATTCTTCAGGTATTTTAAAATTTTAGCCTGATACAAACCAGAAATTCATTGTAAGAATGAAGTCTTATATTCTAAAACAGTCTTTGTAAAAGCAGACAGCAAAAAGAAGAGTCTTGGCATATGGGCAGAGTGATTAACACAGGTCGAGCTGCACAGGTTTTTATTTTGATCTAATCAGAAAGGAAGAGCACATCCAGAGCAGCAGCACCACTGCAATGGTAATATGTTGTCTGAGATGCCCCAAATCAAATACTTCTGAAAGCAGAAACAAAACCATAGTATTTGTCAGTTCTCAGTCCTAAACAAGGCAAGAACTTAATGCCAACGGGCATCCATTTTAAAATGAGACCGAACAGCATTTCAAAGCATTTTTCTTCCTGTTGTCTTTATAACACTGTAAGCATTGAATTCTTGACTATATGTGTAAACATTTACTGCAGGATATCTGATTTACACAGTGTCAGACACCAGAACAGATGTTCCAAC